GCTCATAATTCAAATATCTTTTATGAACTGCGAAAGCAGTTCCGGGGGTTGGTGAGCGCCAGCGAGCAGGGGGCGAAGCCTCCTAGTTATTTATATAATAACAACCGAAATCGTTCGCGAGTCGTTCGTGTTTGATTAAAATTACTTACCTGATCATCTTGTTTTAAAAGAAAATTTTCGGCAACTTTTGACATCGATGACATTTTTTCATGAGCTATTCTTTGTTTTTCTTCCTTTTCCTCCAGTAATGTAATATATTGCCTTTGATCAGATAATATTTCATTAAGCTCCTGTTTGTAGTCCAACATTCCGAAGCACTGAAAGTAAAATTTTACATTTGATACATACACTAAAGCACACTGTTTCAAGCACCCAATATTCAAATGTAAGAACATTTCTTTTTAAAATCGAAATATTTTTTGGCAAAGTTAATATATATGCTTACATATTATGTTATTTGTTATTTATTTTTTACTAAACTGCTATGAAAGTGAAACAGCAGCATCCTTCAAAAACTAAGGTTAACACTTGAAACAACATGAACTGTCATAACCAAGATAGAAATTACTAAATATACCATCTTAAATTTCAACTTTAAAATTTAATTAATTTCTGACAACTCATAAATAAATATTTTTTAGCACATTTACAATTTTTCACCGAATTTTTCTATTCCCTTACAAAAACTATTAGATACGATATAGTAATAAACCAACGTCTAAAATTCATTTTGATCATTTTATGGCAATACTATTTGAATATATCGTGTTTAACTCCAGCATTAGTATTTAATTACAGCACTAATAGAGCATAACCAGTATTTAGTAGTTGTTAAAAATAAACCACAGTGTGAAAATAGTAATAGCTGTGTTGGACGAAATGGTAAATGTTCATAAACGTATCCTTATCTATATTTACTGTTTTTTAAAAAATAATATACTTTTACTTCTACTTACTCTTGTCTCTAAGTCTTTTATCTGTTTTTTCAGATTTTGTAGTTCAATAAAGTTATTCTGTGTTGTAGAATTTACGTCCTTGTCCTTGCTATCTTTCTTCTGATAAGCAGTTTCGTTAGTTAATTCCTAATATGAATCAAAAGTATTATGATCTATTGTAAAACACAATTATATTAATGTTTTTCCTCCATTGGGAATTTAAGTAATTATTTACATTTTTGACCATAAAAAAGTACCAAACAGTAGTAGAAATATGCTGAAACTTCAACAAGGAAGCACTCGAATATAAAGTTTGATTTCAAATTTTTTTTCTTTTTTACTTCTTTCTCCCTTGGCTCCCTTTCTTTCGCCGACCTGAGACCAAACCCTGTCTTAAATAATGACTCGACACAGCTATTTGAAATAGTCAAATCTCGTAACCATAGTCCCCGCCAATGCTCCAGATGAATGTCTAGGGGAGTTCTCTGCATAGACGAAGTATACTTTTTTTTTCCTTTACAGCTGTTCTGTTTAAACTCGGCTCACCTCTAGAGGACATCCGATACGGTCTCTAAAAATTATCTTCCAAACTTTTGGAAATATTTAACACTAATAGACACGAGAACAACAATAACAATAACGTCATTGTGATGTTGCTGCCTTTTTGTTTTCAGTTGGTTCAGAACTATGATTAAACATTTTAATAACAATATCAGAATAGCAAATTTATAAACGTTAATATTCGTTTTAATGTTTTGTAGCTAATAACAACAGTTAAAGCACTTAACTTCATGAACTGATCTTTTTGATTGTTATCGAATCTATGAAAGTTCTTGTCAAAAGAGTGTTCTGTATCTTCTTACTTGATAAATTTTGTGACATTTAGATAATTTTAAATCATAAAATTTCATGAATTGACACCAATTTGGACGTCTTTTCTTGAAATTTGAATTACTTGATATCATTTTCTCGCAAGAAGTTCATAAATGTTAAGGACACGAATAGCGGAATAAAATCAGTTAAAATTTAATTTTGAATTGGTTCAGTTTACCAATTATTTTTTTGAAATATAAAGCTGAAATATGCTGTTGAAATTTAAAAGAGCTAAGATTTATGATTGAAATATAAATAAGTATCTATGTTTGTTGAAAGGATTAAATTACCTGTTTGGTCTTTTTAACTTCTACCGACATTGCTTGAGCCAAAGAGTTGCTCACATTTAGCTCTCGTTTAAGAGATTGCGCCTTTTCTCGAAGTTCTTTGTTGTCGTCGTAAATTTTAAGAAGTAAAGAAGATGCTTGCTTGTATCGTGTTTCCAGTATGTAGAGTGTGCGTTGTTTGAGAGCGGCAACTTGTTGAGATTGTGAAAGTTGGCTTATTTGGTTTGACAATGCTTTGATGGGATCTCGCAATTCGTAGCAAATTCTGAAAAATTGGAAAAGGAAATAATTTATAAATGTTAACGAAGATCACAAATAATCTTTTAAGACTAAATTCTTGTTTTCTGTTCTTTAGCAGAAAGGCAGTGGCTTTATGTTAAAATGCAGAAAAATGCAGCATTTTAAAGCAAAAAAAAAAAAAAAAAAAAAAAAAAAAAAAAAATACAGAACTCCGTATTTCTTTCTGTGATAAGACACTTAATTTTAAACTAATGTTGCAAATTGATTTTTTTTAACCAATAAATATTAAAAAAAGACAACAATTGAGATTTGTAAACAATAAAATTGCCACGCAACTATTTTTAAGTCTTATTCAGTTTCCTATATTTTAATAAGAGTATTGCGAGCATAATGTTGAAAGTCATAAAAATTCAGCTTACCTGTTTCTGTCTAAACCTCTACTAGAATTTAAAATCTGTTTTCATATTTTGCATAATTACTTCACATATTGCAATAAAATGATTAATCACCTAAAATTCATGATTTAAAAAGAAAATTGTGGGAGGAAAATATCACAAATATTACAGCTACGGTTTTGTAAATAAAATAAATAATTATACAGAATTTTCAAACTTTTTATTTTGAACTTTTATTGTTGAATAAAATACCTAAATAAGATTATTTAAGAAGATAATTAGTTCATTAATTTTGATTCTTGAACCAAAGCTTGAGTTGTGGAAAGTTTTTAATGCCTTATATATAAACATTTGTTTCAAAGGGAAGAAAAAAGATATATTTGCAATATTTTATGGTTAAGAAACAACAGCGGTAATTAAATGATAGCTAACAAAACTTGTAAATAATCGTTAAAGTAAAATCGTTTTGTTACTAAATAAAATTATTATACTACCAGTAATTTATGCTTACTTTTCAAACTTTTCAATCATTTCAGATTTAGTCTCTTGAAGAGATTTATCATGGCGCTCATCCATCTCTGAAAGTTCTTTCTCGGCTTCGCTGATTTTACTTAATATTCGATCTCGTTCACTTTTCTTTCCTTCTAATATTAGAATTTTAGTTTCTGAAATTTATTGAACAAAATAGCTCATTTACAGTTTTAAATTGATTAGTTTATTTGACTTCAATTAAAAAGAAGAGACAAAAAAAAATTAGAGAAAAAAGCAGCCAATTTTAAATTATTAGTTCCGTACTTAAAATTTTCTCTTCCCATGGTGTTTACACCTGTCTTACTCTTTTTAATAGAGTTAATGTATCATTTGTAATTTTATTTTTTTCCGATTTTCATTAACAAATTAAAAATAAGAATTAAAAAAAAATATAACAATTTACCTTTCTTTATAATATTTTCAGGATTTTTTTGAAATTATTATTGAACCTACACGGAAAAAATTCTGGGAAAATCACCGTAATGAATAGTAATGAAATTTCTGATTTTTTTAAAAACACCCATAGTTCTGCCATTGTAAACCAAATTAAACTATTCATTTGGTAATTTTTCCATTTATGTGGGTTTATCGAAAATTCTGGTTTTAAATATTACAGTTCTTATTACCATAGATTTAGTAAAAAATATAAAACTGAAAAGTAAATTTAATAGAATAAATGATTTTTATGCTATGCTCTAAGGTATCACAATAAAATTACCAAATTTTCTAAATTTTATCACACATTATGAAACCATATTTTATTGTTAATTTTACNTCTCAGAGGGGTGGTCCGTGACTTCTTAAAAAATTTTAAAAGGGGTCCATTGTATCAAAAAGGTTAAGAAACGCTGCCATAGAGCAAGAAACAAGGTAAATTTTGTCGGTTTCTGGTAGTTTTGGTACTGATTTCTTTTCTCAGTGTATGTTAATGTTAATGTAATGTAATGTAGCTTGGTGAGCAATAAAACACAATTATCAATTTTCACTTGAAAGTGCATATATGATTTAACAAATGCGGATATCAATTAGAACTCAAAACAACTTAAGAACAGTATAAATATTAAATTTTGAACTGTTACCAGTATATAGTAACAGTATTATAAGACTTATAGTAACAGTATTACATAATATGTTAATAGAATATGATGTTTAAGTGCGACTGTTATCTGTGCTGTTTTTTAGGATTGCTACTTTTCGGGATTTATGAGCCAAATTTCCTCTTCTTAGGTTTTGGAAAGGAGAAAATTGGTTCGATCAAAGCCTTTAACATAGAATATACGGGAGCAGATTAGTATATCAAATTACATAACTAACCAATAATTACATCATTACTTGAATAACCAGAAGGCTCATCACTTTAGATGTTTTTCATGATTTTTAATTAAATACGGGAAATAATTCTCATTATAAGGATATTAAATCTCTTTAATTACTGAAATAGTTTAGCTTCCTTCCGATTGGTTCACCTGTACACTGAAGTGACAAAAGTCATTGGATAGCAATATGCAAATACATTTGCTTTACGATTGCTAAGGAACAATCACATTTTTTGGAATATATAATAATAGACATTGATTGAAGAAATGTAACTTAAGTACATATTTAGTAGAGACAATGAGCATTTATTATGCAAAATGATACAAATATCGCCACATTGATAAATAAGAAAATTAAAAGTAAAAAGATGATCCTTGTACGATTTCCAAACTACCACGAAAATTGAGCCTTCTTGCCACAATGAAACAGATATGAGAACCTTGGTAAGATGCGTGATTATATCGGACACTACTGGACATTATACTTTCGCAATTGTGGACATCTATTGAGACTGCTAAGCTGAATATTCCTGCAAGAGACTTTCAACTACTTGTTGAGTCCATGCTACATGAAGTTGCTGCTCTTCGTAGATCTAACGGAGGTCTGATACGATACTAAGATGTATTGAGAGGCATCTCATTACTTTAGTCATCTTACTTTTAAACGGAGTTTTTAGTTGTTGCAGTCTTTTTATAATCCTTACTCACAAAATGAGAAACTTCGTATTATGGGAAAGTAAGTCCGGAAATAGTTCTCAAGCCACCTTTCTATAGTTTAGGTGTAGTACAGTTAAAGTGTCTTCAAAATTAATCTGATCAGTAGTGAAAGTTTATATGTTGATCCTAAATTATACTTAGTTTTAGAAATTAAGTTAATGCAGAACCTGTGAGGGCTTAGAAAATTTTAAAATGAACTAAAGGGCCATTCAAATTTCACATCAGCATACTTTTTGAGATTTTGTCAAATTGCTTATTAGTTGAAAAATAGCTTATTTAGTTTTTGCTTTAACTTTTACTGTAGTAATCTAATTTTGGGATTAAATTCAAATAAAAGATGTGACTTTGAATAAAACAAAATTAACTTCGTAATTAATTTAAAAAAATTGAGTTGAATACTTTTTTGGAATCTGTATTCAAAACTCTTGATATCTGAAATACTACGAAGAAACTTATTTCTTGTTTCTTTCTTCCCCGCATTTAACTTTTATCCCGAATTTGAAATTTTTCAACGAGTAACTTTTTGTTAAATTTTAACTTTTATTTCCAAGAAAAGTTTCGAAATGAAACAATTTTAATATTATACGTAAGCTCTGCTCTTATCCCTCTTCCCCCTAATCAGCAAAAATAAGCAGATCCCCCCCCCAGTTAGCTCTTGATTAATATTTAAATGGCCCCATAAGATGTAATGACTTTATGAAACATAATAAATTTTGTAAGTTATATTTGAACTTACAACACTTATTTTTATAAGTAATATCCAAAAATACTACGAAATTTAAAATGAAAGTATATGATCGGCAATATCTTACGCAATATGACAATGTTCCTTATCAAGGCTTCTTCTTCCTTGGCTTGATTTCTCTTTCTTTGTCTTTCCTCTGAAAATACTTCTTCCTGTGTATCACCCATTTTGCTCTGTAGTTCCCTTTTCCTATCCTGTTTCTCCAGAATTTTGGAAACCGTTTTCTGGACGTTTCTCTTAGCAACTGAGACAATGTCTTCGTAGTCTTCTTGCTCCACTTCAGATTGAGATCGTGCAATTTTGACCTCCTCTGTTAGATTTACATAATGATCTTCTACTCTGTTTTAAAATAAGAATTTGGAGGAATGATGAATGGCTAATTTAATAAGCTAAGTACATCTTTAAATATGAAAATGACTGGGGTTCGTCAAATCTCCCTTGCTATTTCCATACACAAAAAATATTTTTAAATTATATCAAATTGTATTAATTGTATATATATATTACAGGGCTACATAGTACTTGCGGAGTAAATCCTATGCAGCCCTGTAATTTTGAACCGAATTCAGAAGATAAGGGAGCACCTGGATCAAGCATTGAGACAGACTAGCCCTCGTGCAAGACTTTTTGATATAACTAACCCGTATTTCCGTTACATTGGGAGGAAAATTGCGAAAACCTCTTATGATTAGCCCGGCGGTAAGTGTATTCTCACCCATGGTTTATGTCAGCACTGCGTTTGGTGCCAGCCGGGAGCAGAATTAGTATCGTCCAGCCACTGCTGGCATCCAAACCTGGGTCATGTCATTGGGAGGGAATGTTTTATTTAATGAGCTACCGAGACTCAATGTTCAAAGTTTTCAAAGCGTATGCTTCATCACCTTTGGAAATGTTTCAAGAATCATTGTAAAAAATAAACGAAAAACTATAAACATTAGGAATCGGCAATTGATTCTTAAACTTAGAAAAAATGAGAAGTTATTGAAATCTGTTAGAATCACTTGCGAAGAAAACAAGATTCAAAATATGTAGAACTTTTTTAGGTACCAAACGGTAGTGGGAGGCTGTAAAAAGTGAATAATAGAAACACATTTAAAGTTTATCCTGTTATTAAACTGGTTCTGATGCCTTTCATTTCGTCTTTTTTAATTGAATTTGATATCTACTTTTAACCTTCATAATGAACTTTAGTTTTTACTTCATTCTTAACAAGGATTTTAAAAATATGCATGGCAGACAACGATTGCAGAAAACCTTGCATCTGAGCTCCCTAAATAATAATAATGATAATGAAAATCAAAAATCGATTTTTGAAAAATGTTATTAAAATAATTATACGCAATATTACTTTAATAGCATTTTCAAAGATAGTAAAGTAATATAAAATAGTCATAAGTAAATCCGAAATCTCAACTGTTTTTTACCGTATGAGAACAAATTTTGCGCAAAAATTACGAAGAATATCCGTAATCAAACTGGCTTTTTTTACCGTAACAAAACAAGTTTTAAAAATAAATCTGTTGTTTCAACTGACTTTTACCACACAGGAACAATTCAGTGAAAGTTACGAAGTAAACCAGCCCTAGCACCAGATGTGAATATTTTGTGTTGGCATTATCTGCATCGACCAGTTCTCGCTAAGATTCAAACCTGGGCAAGATTCGAATCACAGAGGCGTGCACTCCGTCCTCTGAGTCACTGCTGTTCAAGTGTTTTATTATGAAGAAATTTCGATAGTTAAAATTTCAGTTCAATATTGTACCAGGTTGACAATAAAGATAAATCGCAGTTTTCGTATGCGATGTTCAAAACCATAAAGCAATTTCTAAAAATTAAAAGCAAATATAGAAAAGAATCGTAAAATGATTAGAGAAAGAGGTCGGTTATATTACAGAATGCAAAACTGCAAGGCAAAAATTAGCATTTCAACTGACTGTTTGAATCCGTTTGTGATAAGAGTGAAAAGCGGAGTAAAAGCTTTTTGTTAACAGAACTGCTTTAAACCATTAAATATACCGTGAAATTCCGAAAAAAACCAACGAATATTTTTTAAAGTGTGATTATTTTCGAAATTCAAAATGTTCAATTGTGAGATAAGTGGTATAATTAACATCACAAAAGGGGATTATTAAAATATTTCTTTTGTTGCTGATTTGAATTGCAAAACCACAAAAAAGAGAAAGAAAAGCTTTTACTGCTCAAGCTGCATCTCTAGTTCCTTCACTCGATTTTCGAGGATGTCTCTGGGATCTGATTCAACGGTCGTTGTCTCTTTCGTTAATTCATCTTGAGAAGAAGCTGTGCTCTTGGTCCTCCGGGAACCTTGCGTCGGTGGTCTCCTTAATCTCCGACGTTTCCCTTTCTCCAAAGAAGCCGCATCTTCTGGTCCTTCTCCATCTGCCTCCTGCAAACTGCTTCCCAACGTATCTGATCTCTTAGGGCGATTTTCATTCATTTCAAGAAATACTTATTGCAACAGAGCTCTAAAAGGAGACAAATGTGAACTTTATACAACTGAAATTAAAGAACTAAATAGTATATCATTGAGTTTGGCTGTATAGGGTTTTCTAGAAATACAATTATTGGCAAACGATAGAAGAACTCTCTACCTATGGCAAAACAAAGCATTCTTTCAGCATTAGCGTGTGGATAGTCATAGGATTAGGTTACGTTAGTTATACGTAAATTTCTAATAATATGTTAATTTCTGTCTTGATATTCAAACCATTAAAATTTTTTTAAGCTTGGAAGCTGCATGGAACTCAAAACTGCATTATACGTAGTGCTTAAAGAAAAGATCGTGGGAATTTTAAAACATATTTTTGACAATCTAAATGCGAAAAATATGATGCAGGGGGAAACATAGTAATACATTCCTATTCAAGGAAAGGAGGAAGGCTCTAGCTAGACATTTTAATCTTCTCTCCAGATGGCGTATTTGAGTGTTGCGATAGCGATTAAGAACAATTACTATTAAATACATTCATGCATAAAACAACTTCCAAACGCAATTTGATTTTGAAGTTTTTGTGAAATATGAGCAAGGAGCACAAATCTAAACTATTTTTATGAGTATCTAGTGATTTGCAATAAGACGCAACAAGTGTAATTGCAGTAAAAAGCATAAAAATGAAATAAAAATGAAGAAGTAAAAAACTGTTATAAGATTGCAACAAAAACTGAAGGATTGCAAAAGATATATTACTTATGATCAAAAGGCTCCCAAAATAATGGCATAAAAGAAAAGACAAGCTGCAATTTCAACCGTGGGAATACAAATCACTCACGTTGTACTATATCAAGAGAATGCGATGTTTGTGGTTCGTATTTGTTGAATGATTGGTCAAAAATTGACGAATAATTACTGCAGTATGAGAAAGTACTTTGTGATTCGAACATTAAAGTCACACTTTTCCTTCCAATTTAGGACCAACTGCTTCACGCACACGTCACACAACACTCAAGTACCAGCTTTTATTGACTATCTGACCAGTTGACTAATTAAAGAAAACAATCACCATTCACATGATTGTTGAGCTGTTTCAGTGTTAAAAGCATGGATCCGAACTTCTTTAGCAGTAATATTTTGTTTTAAAAAGGAATCTCTAGGGTCACTTGAACATGTCGTTGTTTTTGGAACGAGTTCAAAGTTTATCATTGTATGGTCTACCAGATCACTAATAATCTACGGTGGATTCTTAACCACTTTTCAAGTTCTTATAGCATGCTGTTTCAAACAACAACATTGGCATCAGAAGCCTTTTGATACATTTCAAAAGCTTTTGTAGCGAGAATTTCCTTGCAAAGACAACATCCGAGTTCTTTTCTCAATTACGTTTGCCACTTCAAAACATTAACGGAATAAAAGTTCTTCCTTTAATAAGAATTGATTTATTTTCGTTTAATAAATTAAATACACTCTTTACTGTTTCCAAATGTTTATAGAATTTTTAATTTAAAATGTATGATAAAAACTTGCAGACGATAAATATTTTAGATGTATTTTAAGATGAATTTTAAATGAAGCATTCCGGATACTTTTTGATCACAGCTGTGCTATTCATTTGTCTTAAGTTATTTTATTCGTTACCAACGTAACCTGACTTTTTTTTCTTTCTCTCTTGAATGCCACAACTTATTTCAGAGATATTTTCTTATCATCACTGTTCCACGAATAAATTCTCCTTTCTGAATTACTTCAGGCTGCAGTGAATAATAATAACAACAACTAAAAACTGAATTACATTCTTTTTTATCATTGAAAATTAGAAAAAAAATATCGATTTAATGTTTCGAAATATGAATGAAACTGGATATTCTTATTATTTTATTAAATTTATTTACTTAAATTTCATTTAGTTTGAAAACTGGAAAGGTCAGAAATGTAACAACTCTCATTTTTGACAATCCAGCTATCCTTGAGCCTTATTTCGTTATTTTTGACAGACATTTCGAATTGACAAAGAAAAGCTAACACTCAAATATATGACAAAACTGCTTCTCCTCTTGAATGTCAACTCTGTGCATTCAGGCCATTCTTTTTTTTTCTGATATGATTTTAGGACTATTCTTACTGTGGGATGGGATGGTTTAGATATTTGTGCTCTCAATTGTCGAGATTTTTTGGTTCAATTCACGGTAATGGCTAAGTACTAAAAGCTTTATGATGATTAATTCAATCGTGTAAATTGACATATTGCATGCAGCCAAATGCTTTTGGCGAAATTCGTATCAACAAACAAGTTTAGATATTTGTGCTCTCATTTATCGAGATTTTTTGGTTCAATTCATGGTAATGGCTAAGTACTAAAAGCTTTATGATAATTTTCGGATTAATTGTGCTAAACAAACATATTGTATGCAGCCAAATGCTTTTGGCAAAATTCGTATCCACAAACAAGTGACGAAAGTAATTTCCTTAATTTTACGATATGTTTTCTTGGAGCATTCCCAGGGAACGGATTTATCAATAATAAAGAAAATTTCGTGTTTATAATGTTGAAATAAATCGCCTCTAAATAAAGATTTAAAAAACTAATAGTTTAAAGACATTGTATTTTAGTTTTTCAAGAGAAGAAAGCGTTTTTATTATTATTTTGAAAGTAATTTTTAAGCATTTTTTGCAATCTTGAAGTTTATATAACTACATCGTGAGAATCTAAACTCGTTTAAGAAACACATTTGTTCGAGCACTTCAAGTAAAATAAATAAAAAAATGCATAATATTACCAACTTATTTCCAAATAAAAATAGTAATGGAAGAATTTGGTGAAAATAATTTTTTTTCAATGAAAACGACCTTAATGTAATGCAAATGAATAACGAAAATACTTAGCATAAGTATAGGAATAAATGACATTCCTCTTTTTATAATGATTGTTCTTCCACTGATTATAAAGGTCAAGAAGAAATAACTTATTTTCAATGAAATAAACGCTTTTAGTGTTAGTTTCGCGACTCTGGAGCTATTTCCATTTGGATTGTCTTATGGCTATCAACAATGGCCACTGAAAACTACTTCAGAAAGGGTCATGGATCAGTCATTGCGCGTAATGGTTTTTTAACCGACAGTTTAAGAACGCGGAACCGTTCTCGTGCATCGCCTTTAAAATTTAGGACTGAGATTTATGATTTAATGCTATTGATGAAATTGATAAGAATGAATTGTATTGAGAAATATCTTTGTTTCGGTTTACCGAGAAATTCTGAAAATTTCGTTTCTAAGTCAGATGCCTCTTTCTAAAAAGTTTTGTGCGAGATTTTTGCTGTTTCCTTAAAGCATAGCTTAAGTGAAACTTAAGAACGCTCTTTGACTTAAAAATTTAAAATTAATTTGTTTAAGAAGTTTACCGTTTTTTGTCATAAAAAGGAAAATTAATTGTTAATTTTCTTTTTTTAATTGTTTAATTTGAAAGTGCGATTTTTGAAGAATGTATACTTACATTTTTAAGGTGACATTCTATTTGTTCATGCATTTATAGCATGTCAACCAACTTTTGTATATGACTAGAGTATTATTTCAAAACTAGAGGGCTGCGCCCCCTGCTCGCTAATGCTCGCCAACACCCGAAAATTGCTACACAATCTTATATGGTTTGCTTCGCAAACCAAGCTCGCTTCGCTCGCTACTAACTTAGGTACATTGTAAATACACAAAAATCTAAGAATTCAAAACAATCATTCAAATCCATATAACAAAATTTTTTTTAAAAAAATTAAATCTTTTTAGTAAATACTAAGCCATTAAAATAAATTTGAATTCAAATAAATGACATGTAATTCGTAAAACCTATTAGAAATGTGCTATAGTATAAAATCTTAAAGCGTAACAGCACGACTGAGACTCATTTTTCAATGAATAACTAATAACAATAATAAAACAAATACATTCGTGATATAAATCAAAAATCGTCAAATAAATTCGTAATATATAAATTCGTGAAAAAAAAGCGCTTTCGACAAAGACTAAAATAGAGATCTATCGACAAAGACTACTCACTTCTGCCTAGCTTAAGGTTATTTCAGTTTCCGTTTTTAAAAGCGCTATAAATTTGAGCCACCTCAGCTAGATTTGGCATGTGACATTTTCAGCGGCAATCATTGGTCGATTTTCTAGCGTTGCCATTCGCGGAGTTGTAATGAGGCTTTTTTTTGTCGCCGTGTAAGAGAAATATATATATATATATAGATAAAGGGACTTCATATGCATTTTTTTCAAAATACATTTTCCAAGCTAGCACCCATAAGTTCTACTTATTCAACCCTTTTCAATTTTAAAGTATTATGGTAACTGTTATGTTTCTTTTCCAGAAAGTTTATTTATTTCATTTTTTTCTCTTTTTTTGCAAGTTGCAGATTAACTAAAAACACAAAGACGGAAATTGAAACTATCTTTTTTTCACTGCAGTTTAAATGTAAAATTAAAGGAATTTGTATAATAAAGGTTGCAACTGAGTATTTAAATAAGAAAAAAAAATTAAAAAAGAAAGAATAGGAAAAATCTTTATAAAAGCGAACATAAAATACTTTATCAAAAAAGTTATCTGGACTACTTTGCTCAAATTATGTAAACTATATTATTTTAACTAATTATAGCTATATTATTTAATCAATTGTAATTAAGGCTTTTCATTAATTTCTAAACTTCATAATATTTAAGGATTTAGGGAAAAATGAGTTCCTCTAATATGTTTAAATTTTTATAGTTCCAACTTGTAAAATCTTAATCTTTGTATCGAAGAGAACCTCTGATTTTCTGATAAACTTACTTTCTGGTTTTCATAACTTCTGATTTTGCACAGACGATTATAGTTTAATTCGCTACAAACAGTTTAAAGATATGTATTGCAAGCACGATATCAAGAAAATTTTTTCATATTATGCTTTACATTAAATAACTACTTATAATAAGCATAACACTTTGTATTTTATGTAATAGAATGAGATTACACCTGC